TGTCACTGGCTTTCCTTTTAAGACCGGTAGTCCTTTTTACTGTAGGGCTTGTTGCCTAGGATACTGTCCACTTCATGTGTAATTGATGATGATAATTTTGGAAGAACCTGGAAGAACATTGGGTTGAAGTTTAATGCGTTTTTTAATGTTACAAATGTATTAATAACAAAATCTGTTGGCTAAAAACAAGCACCTAATATGTTTTTTTATGCTACCTTTTCCATTTTTGCTGTTTCATAATTGATTTATTTTTATTTAATGTTGGGAATGCAACATGCATCAACCATCAAAACGAGAAGTTTTTGAGGGCTCCTTGTGGTTTTCCGACAAAATAAAAGCTTGATAGTTTAACATTTAAAAATGTAGAAATTATTAAATTATTAATTATTAATTAATTATTAATTAAGACATCCATAAATATTAGTATATTCACTGTACTGTAAAATAAAATCACTATTATTACATTTTTCAATTACATATTACATACATCAATTTTTTATTTTACAGTAATTCAATAGTACAACAGTAGTTCAATAGTAATAGTAATATAATAAAATACATTATTTTACAGTTGTATTACAATAGTAATATTAATTTTTTATTTAGTAATCAAATTCGTATTTTTAAATATTATGTATCTTACTGATTTAAAATATTTTAATTATTTGCTCAAAATGTTTTATTTGTAACCACAATTTGTATTAAAATACAACAACAATAATAATAATACAAAAAATAATAATAAAAGAGGTTAATGTGTGTGTGTAATGAGCTTTTTCTAGGGCAATAACTGTATAAGTGTTCAGTGGCTTTGAGGTATATTTATACTCTTAAATATTGATTGGCTTAAATATTTGCTTAAGCAATATAGCCCTGACATGGGCTGTAATGAAAAATAAATCAATTCACCAGAATTATTTTTGTAATTACATAATACATTACATATTCGCATTTATATTTAATTTATATTGTCTTCTATTTCAGAATTTCTGGTGTGAACAGTGAAATCTCATCATTAATTTAAACATTCTAAGCTCTAGCTTGTTACGCAATGCTCATTTTCACAGCTTGTTACGCCACGTTGTTGTGCGATTGCTGTTTTGCGAAAACCTCAGCATTTCATCAATTGTTTTTGTGTTAACAGAATGAAAAGCTTTGTTCATGTATGAATCCTGCTGCGAGTGGCTCACCTGAATGGCTCCGATGTTCTCCATCAGCTGCTCAGTGCTGGAGGCCCCCAGCAGCACACAGCTCACACCCTCATTCCTCAGACACCACGCTAGAGACACAGCAAAGCACAGACACTTCACATCTCTCTAAACAGTCAACAGAGAGAGTCTAGAACTGTAAATGTGAAAGCCATTTGAAAGCTCAACCAGAAATCTGGCCTCAGGCAAAGAGCTAATTCTCTAGACATTAGATTTTCTAAGGAGAGATGAAAGCAATTCAGTCCTGTGTGCTTTTTATATAACCAACCATGTCAGAACACCGAACAGCAAAAAGACAGAGGTAGGTGTACTTGACAGAGTGCTAACATGTGTGGGCATTAAACTTGAACTAAGCAGTTACTGCTGAAGCAAGTGCATTTTAAATAAAAAAAAATAAACTTGAGTTTTGTTCCATTACAACTGGCACACAGGAGAAGCTTATTTTAGGCTCTAACCAGCTATTAGTCTCACTTGTCTTAAGCTTGGACAACTTATTTATTCAAGTTAATGCATGTTCTTTGTCTATACAGTAAATCCACAACATTTTTAATCTCTAAATATCCTTCTTCATTCAGACATAATTAACATTATAGAAGTAAACTGAGTTTAATGTTAACTTTGACGTTTTAAAAAACATTCACAGGTTGCAGAAAGCCACATCAAATTAAAACCGTCCCACCACGAGAACAGACACACAATCAAGTACCAAACAATGTGTATCTGGTCTACAGTTAGCAGTCAGCACTAACCTACTGAACACCTGCTGTTACTCTGACCTTTACTGCTAAGGTTATATAAATGATTAGTGTGGATATAAGCAACAAAACCTGAAGCTACTAATCTAAAATGTTGCAATTATCTATGCTGTTTCCCCTTTAATGAATGATAGTCATCAGTTGATAGTTTTATTTGCTTAATGTGTTTACACAACTAGGACACATTCCTGGACTAACATCATTTGTTGTTCCTATAAAGCAAACACTGACCTCTGTGCTTCTGGGACAGGTTTAGCATTACACAATGGCAGACTTTTGAATTTTAGTCTGGTCCATATTACAACTTATTCTGGTCAAGAACAGCCCACTAAGCCAGGAAGAGACCACCTGAACAACAAGTAATAATGCAAAGAATCACGGGTAACCCTGCCTTACACATTGAAATACACAATCGAAAGGAAGGTGACAAAAGCCGTCTTTGGGGTGGCATCCTTTTAAAAGGGACACTTTTGTACTTTATATACCCCTAGGGTGTGCATTAGTACTTTAAGCATACATTTGAATATCTTAATGGTACATTTTAGCACTGTTTGGAAAAGGGCCACCCATATAAAAAAAAACCTGCATGCTGTTTTTTTTTTCATGGATCACACACACTACTGTTCAAAATTGTAATAGTTGGGAAGATTTTATTTTTTTTGAAAAAAGTCTCTCTTGCTCACCAAGACTGCATTTATTTGATTAATTAAGTGCAGTAAAATTGTAATATTATGAAATATTATTACAATTTAAAACAAATGTTTTCTATTTTAATACAAATAAAAACGTAATTTATTCCTGTGATGGCAAAGCTGAATTTTCAGCATCATTACTTCAGTCTTCAGTGTCCTTCAGAAATCAGTCGAATATGCTGATTTGGTGCCAAAGAAAAATGTCTTTATTGAAACTGTGATACATTATTATCAGGATTTTTTGGAGTTATATAATGTTACAATTTATGCTACTTGCTGCTAGACGAAAGCACATCTCATATTAAAAAAAACCTGCATGCTGGTTTTTTTTTTCATGGATCACACACACTACTGTTCAAAATTGTAATAGTTGGGAAGATTTTTTTTTTTTTGAAAAAAGTCTCTCTTGCTCACCAAGACTGCATTTATTTGATTAATTAAGTGCAGCAAAATTGTAATATTATGAAATATTATTACAATTTAAAACAAATGTTTTCTATTTTAATACAAATAAAAACGTAATTTATTCCTGTGATGGCAAAGCTGAATTTTGAGATAGTAAGACGACCGCAATACACCTAGCTAGTAAAAAACAAGGACATATATAACAGTAAAGTAATGGAAGTGGAGCAGAAGTACATTCTGAGAAGCAACACAGGCCATTATTCATATTTTCTTTATACAAAGTGACAGGGCATTAAAAATGGCCTGAAGGTTATGCATGTTATAGTAACTCTACTCAAAGAGTTTCTCAGTGGGTGGAAAATAAATCAGAGTGTGACTCCGGACTGCATGACATCTCCACAAGGCTGCATTTCATTGACATTTAGCAGAGGAGCAATTTTCCATGGTCCAGCCTACAATCTACTTCATGTCATGAGATTATTACACTGCTGCATGAACATACCCTATAATGAGAAAGAAACCAGATAAAATGGATTAAAAAAACTGTTTATAATAGAAAATATCTGTAAAGTGCTATAGCGAACATTGGAGTAGTTTCACACAAACATTAATTTAAGAAGAAGCAGGTCTCCATCCTTCAGACTTAGATTCTCGAAAAAGTTTCGATTAGCAACATTTTAAAGGATTCCAAAAAGCTGCTTGTTTAAAAATGCATTTTGTGGGTCTATGTAGTCTCTACAGTCTCTTTTTTATAAACCCACATTAGATGCCAATATATTTACTGTGTTCCTATTCACATAGTTTACTGTTACACATATTAAACGGCATCCCCACATATTAAACGGCAAAAAAATTAAATATATACTTAAATAGACAAACATAATCAAAAAGGTCATATGACAAATCATCCAATTATTTATTACTCTTATTTTGTAAGTAAAACACTGCAGGCAGGAGAGGACAGCATTCACAAACCTCTAGTAAATAAAATTTCCAATCTGTACTAACATATGAAGACAATCTATGTGTTCACATGGTAGAATTTTTGCAATTTACCAGTAGCAGTTTATGTCTTTTTTTCAAGATTTGTGAATAATATCAGTGTGAACAATTAGTAGACAGAGAAAATATCAAAAATGACAGACGCATGCAAAAAAGAGAGTAGCCACTTGCAGTAATAAAATATTCGCATGCAGGGAAGCGGAGGACACTGCAGTCAATCATCTTGCATCTTTTTTATTGGTTTTAAGAAAATCTAAAATATTAGGCTAAAGTATAGTATGAGCAGAAGCAGGTTAAAGTGTTTTAATATATTTAATTATTTACATTTCATTATAATATGAGTAATATATGCAACTGTATTTATGTCTGAACTGACAGAAAAAAAAACAAAAAAAAACAAGCGAAGCCCCAAAATCGATCCGCTCGACACCTACATAACAAGTGCATTTCTAGGAAAAATTAATAATGGAGAAGATATTAAAATGGAATGAATGGTAAATATTTAACAACAAAAAAACTGATAAAAAATGACACTATAATCACGGGTCAGTAAGATGCAATGACCTTCTCCAAATTTCACTTGCAAGATGGACAGGATAGTAAAAGAAATCAATCATTCTACGGCATACAAGGTTTAATAGGAACTTCTGGAAATCTTCAGCATTTTATGGACAAAGTCAGGTTTCTCACACCAGGAAAAGAGGGCAAACTATCACAAATCAAAGCCATAAAATGCTTTTGTAGACAGGAGGTCAAAACTCTCACTGAGGGTACCATGTACCTTCTATGATGAATGTTCTTGATTTTGAAGTGTTAAATGGATCTCCTGGTGATAAACAAACAAACAAAAGACTATGAAAAGAGGTTTACCAACCAGCAAATGGAATGAAATCTCTGAAGAAGAAAAAAAAGGCAGCAGAACTGGATCAGTGTGGATACTGCAAATCCACGCTTGAATTAACGAGGTCTGTGCACAAGCACGAGCAACCATGACCTCAGAAGCATCAGGCTCAGTCTCAATCTGTCCACATACCCCTCACAGATGTACAGCATGGTATCTTCACAGTTTAGTCAAGTTAGGCTCAATTAACAGCATTTGTAAGATGTCGATTACCTCAAAATTTCATTTCCTATCCCTCATTTTCTTAAAAAAAAAAAAGACGAAAATAGGTTACACTGTTTGGAGGGTTTAAAGACAGAAATGTGAGGCTTACAATTTTATAAAGGCACTTAGATCAATTCTTCTCTTAAAACGCAAGCATTATTTGAGCTGCACAGTTGTTTAGATCAGCATTTTGGGAGTATTTTAACATTCCATTTAACTTCCATTATAAGTACCTCACTGTAAGCCAGATTTTAGCCCATGTTTTAAGGAAAAGGAGGAACAAATCTAAATTAATTTCTGTGGTAATGAAAATTATGCGCTAAATTATGTCAACTTGAATTGACCTTGTATTCGTTTAATATCTCACCATTCTTAAGGAGAGGAGCATTATCAGCCAATCAGGACTTTAAAGAAATGTGGGGACGAAAACATATTGGTCTGACTCCATTAAAGCTACCATGCTATAGTGCTGTGAATATGTTAAGTAACCTAAATCTTTCAGTCATGCTGCTTCGGCTGTTTAGCCCTCTAAACTATTGCTTTCTATAATGAAAGATCTACTGCGACGAGAGATGTAGATGTACTAGTCCACTTAATGCGTTTGTAAAACTCTCCAAAGCGAAAGCATGCACTCTTCCTCGACTAAATTATAACTTGACTCGACCATTAAATGCATAATGGTTGCAACTGCTGTGATGCAAACTTGAATCATCTTGACAGCACACTTAGACAACATGCTCCAGTCACTGCTCAATGTTCCGAGACAGACAATTAATTATTCCGTATGACATAGTTTATTACAAAATGAGTGGGATGATTAGACTATTTTTGGAACTTTTGCACCGTAAAGGTTAAACAACTCTCTGCCATTGGTCTCAATGTGTCTGATCTCTTTTATGAGTTACTCTGATATAGTCCCATGCTTCCGTGCAAAGCAGTTAAGTGAGCCATTCCAGTGCTGGGAGTCAAAGATGCAAAAACTATCCCAGGATCCCATCAAGCACACCTACCTTCCATTGGCGTGTTGGGGTCAGGTCTGTTAGCAAACACTACATCCACATACTCTAACTGAAGTCTCTCCAGTGATGCCCTTAGACCTGAAGGCCAGAAAAACAAAGACTATTTAAAGCTGAAATGTGCTATTTTATTTTAACTACATTTCCCTTTCCATTTATCTGCAATCATGAATATTTTTAACACAACTTACCCTCTATTATGTGCTTTCTGGACAAGCCTCTCTCTGTTTCTGCTCTGAAAAACAAACAAGAATATGACATTTTGTATTACTACTTACTATTACTATTACTTAATACTTACTGGATGTGTTTTTAAAGTCAGCATGATGTAAATTCACCTCTATTTTCTAAAGTAGTGTTATTGAACTCATTGTGAATGATTCTTTAATTATAAAAAAAAAAAAAAGTTTGACCTTGTTATTTTTAATGAAAATGTCAGCTTGATCTTCTGGTGAAATGACGGACTTCTCTCTGGTGACGTATGTCAGACTTCTCCAATCATTTAGTCATTCATCCAATCAACAAATGATGCACAGTCCCCATCCATTTTTTAAAAATAATCCACTCAAATGTATGTCACAATACGGAAGAAAACATCTATTGCTACTTCTGTTTCATTGCAAATTTAATGTGATGCATATGTGCAGTGGTGCAAACATAATAATACACCCAGCTTCACACTCGCACTACTATGAAAGAGACTATCATTAACCTGCTTCCCCTGTTGCTCTCGTGGTCGGGGGAAGGTATGAATCATCGTTAACCTCTTTCTGACACACACACACACACACACACACACACACACATTAGCACAGCACTTAGTAGTTCGTCTGTGCTGAAGTATTTACAGTGCTGTCTTCATCATTCTGCACGAGCCTCATCGCCAGCTTGACATGGCATGAAACAGATGAAAAATTCAACAAAAACACTCCGCACACACACAAACGACATATATAAGGTTATGTCCTTTAACACTCGTGAGTTCTGCCTCATTAAAGTGCCTTTTTTTTACCGTCGAGTGGATTTCCACTGAGTCAGGCTATTTCCGCTCAACTTTATCAGCAATTTCCTGACGTTACAGCTCCACGGCATTGCAGAAAATAAAGACGTCACTGCTATATTTACTGCAAGCTAGCAGGTTTTGGCTATTTAACTTTCCATCTTAGCTTGTTTTACTCACCCAGCCCTAGACATGATACCCGTAAGCCAGATTTCCCAAGGTTCCTAAAAAAATAGCAAATAGTTTAAGCCACATGGTAAAATTAAATGCAATCGTGCAGATTAATGCCAATCAATGATAAAGTGTTTCAATGTAATGCATAAATGTACTGTGATGCATAAATGTACTTTCTAATGTTTCAAAAAAGGATGTATATTGTATTTGTGCCCTGTGGTCAGCATAGCAGCACAGTTACGAATAAATCTGAACTCGTTATGTTTTCATTATGTGTAACCTGGGCCATAGGCTACATATATATGTACTGTAGCAGTCTTTGATTGTAACTCCCACTCACACACAGAGAGTAAGAGAGAATGTAATCCAGCCTGGATACAGCACTACAGTACCTTCAGCCCCAAAGAACCAATCAGAAGACCACCTGGGTATTTATCTTTTGAGTTTGCAAAGAGCCGAGGTTACAGTGCTGAGCAATTACTATAAGACCACACAGTCAAGGACACAGACTGTTTTCATAATTACAGCTATTCAGTGAGCTTTTGATTCTTATTTGAAGGATGAGAGGCAATTTATGACTGGCACAAAACAAAGATTTTGTTGCTTTAAAATACCTTTTTATGGTTTCCAAAAAAAATAAATAAAAAAAGTTTAAAAACCTTCTAGAAGAGGACAGCAACGCTTATGAAAAGGCACAACATTTCCCAGAAGAAACCAATCAAAGTCATGAATTTATCCTTGAGAGACATTCCTAGTTTCCTACTGTACCATATCCTCCAGGCAAGTTATTCACCATGTTTTCATCACACACTGACAAAAAAGTGTGGTGAATTTACATGATTTAATAAACAGAATTGGTTCACATAACTTTAAAGTAAACAAAGTTATTTTGAAGAGACCAAATTAAGCAGTGATTTCATATGGTTTCCTGACAGGATTTAATTATATATATATATTTTTTGTCACATCATTGAATTGTAAGATCCCAGATGCACATATACAGTACATTTGCCACATGTCTGTTAAATAGCACTTCATCTGGAAAGCATCTGTTGTGTACAAACACCTGATAAACGTTTTTAAAAAATGAGTTTTACATACATTCAAACATCAAATATCTTAAAGACATTTTCTAAATTTCTATTTAACGTCTAACAGGAAGCATCCTAGAGACGTATTGCAGATAAATGTAACTCTAAAAAATACATCTTCCAGATGTAAACTAAAACGCCCATCAAATAGATGTCTCTGAGATGTACATGTGCTATCAGGGATAGTACTGGCTAGCAACTAAATTAAAATGCTACTTTTAAATGTTACATTTTTTTATGTCAAAAATGCTTGTTATGCTAGTTTAAATGTATATAAACTATGCTGTATTTATGGGGGTAGAATTGTTGCTTAATTCCAAATAAATAGTGATAAATCAGTCATAAATCAGCCTTGAGCGTGTGTGCTATAGATACAGTGAAAACAGCGTGTTAGTTTAGAACTCTTCTAATTTTTTTAAATTGTAGAGAGTGTGTTAATTTGTGCAATGATAACCTACCAGCAATGTAAATTATTTTTTAAACATATTAGAATGAGTACATTACAATATAAATTTATTAGAATAAGTACATTATTATTTATGGGCTTAAAAACAAGATGCAAACAATCAGAATATTGTACCTGGTGGGGGGTGCACAATGTAAACATGAAACATATGCCATTACCTATATTGTACTGTGGTACAGTTATGGAGGCCCTTCATAATGCCGAGGTCAACTGCCTGCTATGCCAATAGTTAGAAATGGCACTATAGGAAGCAGTGTTTAATAAACAGCTGTTTTTCTAAATTCTGCTGAGGTGAAATTCAGTGCAGTCATGTATCGTGATACGTATCGTATCGTGGCCTCTGTATCGTGATACGTATCGTATCGTGACTTTGCTGGTGATACACAGCCCTATTAGTCACCACGTCACGCAGATGCAACTTGACATGAAACGTATGCGTCTTGGAGCAGTATCTGACAAACCAGCACCAAGGGTGATAGACCGGGAGCCGCATCTAGTGAGACTTGAGGACTCGGATGACACTGAGAACTATTTGCTGACGTTTGAGAGACTGGCAGAGCTGTACCAGTGGCCTAAAGAAGACTGGGCCATCCACCTCATACCGTTGCTCACTGGTAAGGCCAGATCTGCATTTGTTGCAATGGACACTTCACATACACAAGACTATGATTTTGTTAAGACAGCAATACTGAAAACGTATGAGATCAATGCAGAGACATATATACTGAGATTCCGTAACCTGAATACCCCTGCTGACAAGTCACCACAAGAAATTTACACCCGACTGAAAGACTTGTTTTGCAAGTGGGTCCGCTACTCCAGCAGCACTAAAGAGGATAATATGGAGGCCATTGTTCTGGAGCAGTTCCTTCATGTTTTGTACCCAGACGTGAGGACTAGGGTCAAGGAGCGTGATCCAATGACTGCTGCTGAAGCTGCCAGACTGGCTGAGGCATATATCACAGCCCGTAAAGGAGCAGGAAATGTCTGCTATGCAAGAATCCTTCCTGTGGCCAGAGATAAGTCTGAGGGGTCTGGGGATTGTTCAAACTCTCAAGCTAGAGTCCTTAAACTCACACAGAGTAGAGACACTACTCCTCATGCAACATCTTAGAGTGTAGCTAAGGAGGATGTTGTCTGTTTTCATTGTGGTCAGCCAGTACTAGACGTCTTTGCCCCTTGAAGAAACCTAAAACCGCAAGCCTTTGTTATGTTCCCCGTTCAGTTGAGTCATCCCCCATGAAATGCAATTCACAGCCGGTTAGGTCTGTCTTGTTAAATGGTAGACCAGATTTAGTCTTGGTGGACACTGGATGTACATATACGCTAGTGCAGAGCAGGTATGTGTCCAGACAGGACTGGAGTGACACTGAGACTGCACAGTATTTTATGTTACGTGCAGACAAACAGTAATTTATTTATGACGATAAATCAGTCATAAATCAGCCTTGAGCGTGTGTGCTATAGATACAGTGAAGACAGCGTGTTAGTTTAGAACTCTTCTAATTTTTTTAAATTGTAGAGAGTGTGTTAATTTGTGCAATGATAACCTACCAGCAATGTAAATTATTTTTTAAACATATTAGAATGAGTACATTACAATATAAATTTATTAGAACAAGTACATTATTATTTATGGGCTTAAAAACAAGATGCAAACAATCAGAATATTGTACCTGGTGGGGGGTGCACAATGTAAACATGAAACATATGCCATTACCTATATTGTACTGTGGTACAGTTATGGAGGCCCTTCATAATGCCGAGGTCAACTGCTTGCTATGCCAATAGTTAGAAATGGCACTATAGGAAGCAGTGTTTAATAAACAGCTGTTTTTCTAAATTCTGCTGAGGTGAAATTCAGTGCAGTCATGTATCGTGATACGTATCGTATCGTGGCCTCTGTATCGTGATACGTATCGTATCGTGACTTTGCTGGTGATACACAGCCCTAATGTACAGTACATAATGTCTTGAAATATATAACCAGAATGCACTTATATGCACTTGCTTGAGTGTAGATTCTGAATGAAGGCTTGTAGTCATTGCATGTACAGTGTATCTATTACCTGTAAACAGGCTGTCATCAATGTCACCTCCAAGTGGCTTTGAACAGAACATCACTGGAGAACTTATCAACTCAAATCAAATTATCAGTGAGCAAGGAGGTCCTGAAAACCAGTGATGAATTTTTAACTGGTTGGATGGAGATAGAGTTACAGGATGGGAGATCCATTGACCAGTCTGTGAAGGTGAACTGGCCACCTGCTGATGGGGCTCAAACTGATG